CACCAGCCACTCCTCTGAAGGAAGGTTGGGCAATCTACTTCCATAGAGCTACCTCCTCGGAAACCCAAGGAGGGGTTGCTATGAGTCGGATAAGACTCGCCGACAGGGAGTTTGGTTTGGTTTAACTACTCACCAAAGTAGGATGTAGAGCAATATTTTTGTGTACTATATCATGCCACTGAGCTTGATGTCTCCTGTGAGCATGGTCCTGAGCCCGCAGGCCCAGTGACCTATCCCCTCAAGGTGTTTGATTGTGGTAAGAAGTTATCATAACTGTACCTCCCATTAGTGTTACTATTTATGTACATTTTTATAGCACAATTATGTATATAGAAATTTCATCTGCCAAATATCTACATGGTCATGGGTATATTCTCATTCATCCATCCATACCTGATCATCTTGCCTGTTTACCTGTGTGTCTACCCACAAGATTAATGTTCATTGTTTCTGATAATGCAGTATTGTGTATGTGATAGCATTTACCTTTGTTGTCTATACCTTTTGTGCATCTCTCTATGTCTTCCTTTTCTTTAGTCATATTGTGCTTGTCGCCAGCTTTTGGTATATTTCCTTTCCCTTCACCCAAATCAATATGTGTCTCTTACTTAGCTACAAATTTTCCCTCTTTTCTCCTCCCATCCTTGGTAACCAACACAGGAAGTTTTCTTCCATACATAAACTTTTCCTTGACTTTTTATAACGGTGGACTCAAATAATATTTGTCTTTCTTATTGACTTATCTCACTCAGCATAATGTCCTTCCACGTTATGAGGTGTTTTGCAGATTTTTCATTATTCATTAATGTTGCATAGTATTCCATTAAAGAGCTCTGGTAGCGTAGTGCCTAAGGCATTTAACTGCTAACCAGAAGGCTGGCGGTTCAAACCCACCAGCTACTCCTCAGAAGGAAGACTGGGCAATCTACTTCTGTAGAGATACTGCCCCGGAAACCCAAGGAGGGGCCACTATGAGTCAGATTTGACTCAACAACAGTGAGTTTTGTTCAGTTTAGTAATCCATTGAATGTATGTACCATAGTTTGGTTATCCATTCTTTTGTTGACGAGCACTTAGGTTGTTTCCATCTCTTTCCTATTGGAACAGTGCTGCGATGAACATGGGTGTGCATATTATCTATTCGTGTCCTGGCTGTAACTTCTTTAGGATATATACCTAGTAGTGGGGTTGCTAGACCAAATGGTATTTCTATTTCCAACTTTTTAAGGAAGCACCATATCATTTTCTACAGTGGTTGTACAGTATTAGTTCCACTGGCAATGTATGAGAGTTTCAATCTCTCTACACACCCTTGCCAACATTTGTTGTTTTCTATCTTGTTGAACTTTGCTATTATTGCTTGAGTGAGATGGTATCTCATTATTGTTTTTTGATGTGCAACTCTCTAATGGCTAATGATCACAAGCATTTCTTCACTTGTTTGTTGGCCACCTGAATATCTTTGGTGAAGTGTCTGTTCGTGTTTTCTGCCCATTTTTTAATCGGATTATTTGTCTTTTTGATGTTGAGGTGTTGAAGTTTTCTACAAATTTTAGAGATAAGTCCCTTGTCAGATATGTGTTCTCAAATATTTTTTTTTTCCAAATCTGTAGGTTCTCTTCTTCTGGAGAAGTCTTCTGATGCACATAAGAATTAAATTTTTAGAAGGTCAACTAGTTTATCTTCTGCTGTCCATGCATTTTTGGTTATGTTTGATAGTCTATTTATGCCATAAATTAGGATCCTTAAGTTTGCCTGTAGGAGCTCTGGTAGCTTAGTGCCTAAGGCACTTGACTTCTAACCAGAAGCCTGGAGGTTCAAACCCACCAGCCACTCCTTGGAAGGCAGATGGGGCAATCTACTTCCGTAGTGATACTGCCTCGGAAACCCAAGGAGGGGTCGCTATGAGTCAGGTCCGACTCGACGGCACATAACAACAACAACAAGTTTTCCTGTATTTTTCCTTTGATGATCTTTATAGTTTAGGTTTTACATTTAGGTCTTTGATCTATCTCAAGTAAGTTTTTGTGTACAGGCTGAAGTATGGACCTTACTAATTTTTCTGCAAATGGATATCCAGCTTTGCCAGCACCATTTGTGAAATAGATTCTCCTTATTTAATGGGCTGTCAGATTTATTCTTGAAATGGTCTCTAAATTCAGGTGAAATGTACTCAAGGTTGTACTTTGGTTCTCATGTACTTTTATCTTCAAACTCTTCAGCTTCAACTTGAACTTGCATAATAGCAATTGAGGGCCTGTTGCACAGTCAGCCCCTGGCCTTGTTCTGACTGACGATATTGAGCTTCTCCATTGTCTCCTTCCACAGATATAGTCAATACCATTCCTGTGAATTCCATCTGGTGAAGTCCATGTATGTTGCTGTTTATGTTGTTGGGAAATGGTATTGGCAATGAATAAGTTACCCATTTTTCAGATGCAGGAATCAAGAATCAAAAACCTGAAGTAACTTTCCAAAGGTTACTACACTGGCAGGTGGCTGGCTGGGTTTTAATCCAGGCCCAAACTTCAGTTACCTTTTCAAAAAATTGGGATGATGTTGGACCTCCTCATAAGGTTGGAAATATCAGATGTTTTGTGATATATATTTTACCATAATGAATAAATACGCAAAATAAATTTGGTAAAGTTTGGGCCATTCCCCTTCATTGTTTCCCGCTGGAAGTCCTGCTGCAGCCACCAGTGGTCTGAGTTGTCCTCCTGGCACCACTCTATGATCAGCTGCTTCTGTTTGGTTGGAAAGACAGCAGGACAGACAAAGGCCCATTGTCTCTGTCCTCAGGGGCTGTTGGGCACTCCTCCCTTGTTCCTGACCCACAGACATTCCCAGCTGTCCTTTAGCCTTGTCTTGGCTTTCCTGAGTGGGAGTGGGGGGTGCACCGTGAAGATGGCATCACCAGCCCAGATTTATGGATGAGGAAACTCAGTTTAAAGACTTGTTTTATGTCAGAGCTGCCAAAGACGGGGCAGGGGCAGGGTGTTCACTCTGAAAGGGTGAGTGTGCGGCCTCTGTGGGTCTATGTCAGAGATGGCAGGGTGAGAGCAATCCCTCATTAATTCGTGGAAGCACCCGAGGTTGTAGAATTGCTGGAAACAGGAAACACAAAACTAAATCCTTGTGGTTGCTGTTGGTCTTTTCCAACTCACATCGACCCTATAGATAAGAGTAAACCTGCCCCACAGGGTTTTCAAGACTGTAATCTTTGTGGGGGAGCTCTGGTGTCATAGTGCCTAAGCCATCTGACTGCTAATAAAAAGGCTGGCGGTTCAAACCCACCAGGCACTCCTCGGAAGGAAGTTTGGGCAATCTACTTCGGGAGAGATACCACCTCAGAAACCCAAGGAGGGATCGCTGAGTTCGATTGGACTCCACCGCAGTGAGTTTGGTTTTTTTGGTTTAATCTTATGGAAACAGACTGTCGCAGCTTTCTCCGCAGAGCGGCTGGTGGGTATGAACTCCCAGGAAGTCAAGTTTGTCTTTCTCTCCGTCTAGTATTGTTTACGAGTCTGAATCCACTCGACCAAAATAGCTTTTTATTTTTCAAGTGCTGTTTCTAGGACTCAGAGAAAGGCGCCTGGGACTGAAAGGAGAGGGGAAAGGGGATTAAAATGGTCCCTCCCCCCGGGCGGGACGATGACGATGACGATGACGTATTCTCCACCCTCTGTGACGCATGGTGGCGAAAGCTCGCCGCGGCCCCGCCCCCCAATGGGCGTGGTTTTTCGAGCCAGGCTGTACTCCACTGGGTATTTGCTGCGATGGGCGGGACTACGCGCCCGACCGGCCATGGGGGCGTGGTCTCCTTTCCTAGCTGAGAGCTCAGCACAGGATTCCAAGCTTTTGCGACCTTAGCGCTGGCGCCAGCGGGGCGGAGTCGCGCCTTGCCAGAGGTCCGTCCCACAGCGGAGGCGGCCGGGCCGGGGCGTGTCCTAGGTGGGGTCCCGCCCCGCCCGTTCTCGGAGCTGCTGCCTCTGCCGGGAGGTCTTGGTCCCGGGATGTGAGTGGTGCGGGGTTGGGCGCGCTGGGTGGAACGCCGAGATTGACCCCAGGGTGCCTGGGGTCCCTGTGAGCAGGGACACAAGTGCGCAGGCGACTGGGCAGAGGGTGCGGGGGTTGTGGGGCGCCCGCGCAAGGTGTTCCCTGGCGAGTCCCCGTGCGCACGGCCAGCCCAGAGCCTTTTCGCCGCTGCTGAGAGCGACTCTGCAGCGCAGTCCAGACCAGGCGGGAGCCTGTGATTTGCTCGAGTCTGACGTCTGTCCTCTCCCGGGCCCTACCAGCTGTGCAGAGGCCCCTGTAATGGCAGCAGTTGGTGCGGGGTTCCTGGTGCTGGTGTGGTAGCTGCAGGGGGTAGGAAGAGGATTGGCAGGGACCCAGGTGACCCACGTCCCTGGTGCAGGATTGGGCCACTGCCTTCTTGTGCCCGGCCCTGCTGTTTCTGAGAACTGTAACCCCAGTGCTCACAGACAGATCGCTTTCTGGGCCAGATCTTGCAATTCATTACCGAATTCTCCCAACAGCCCACATTTCACAATTCAAGAAATTGAGGTTAAGGGCCCAGGACCACACAGTTGTTGAGTGTGATGGTTATAATGTGATAGATGATAGTACGATGCTGAGGCCTTGTAGCCAGACAAGGGAAGGCACCTCACTGATACACAGACCCCTTGTTTGTGTGACCTGGGGCGCATCTTACCCTCTCTGAGCCTCTAGGAGGCCGTGGTACCTACCTCCAAGGCTGCTGTGAAGTAGATATTTTAGGGAAGGACAGTGAGCCCTCAATAAAGGTTGTTGGTGCTGCTGTTCTTAAGTGGCCCTTTTCTAGGCCCAGGGAGTGATGGTGCTGGGTCAGGGGTGTGTGATCAGCCAAAGCAGAACTCATAGGAGCGGGAGGACATGATGGTTACTCTCCACACTGAGACCACCCCATTTGTGCACACTGAAGGCCACACACAACTCAGCTGTACCAGCCTGTGCCAGAGATGCGCTGGCCCATCGTGTACTCTCCACGCTACAACATCACCTTCATGGGCCTGGAGAGGCTGCACCCATTTGATGCGGGGAAATGGGGCAAAGTGATCAATTTCCTCAAAGGTATGTAAGGTTCTCTCTCTCCCTCCATCTACTCCCTCTACCCCACCTGTCCACCATTCCTGTCTTCCTGCTGCCTTTTCTTGAACACAAGCCTTGGACCCTCCCACCCGACTGCCTTCTACCCATGCTATTGAAGGTGTCTTTCCAACCTAGCCCTTTAAGCACTGTATTTGCCTGTCTCAGACCCACTTGACTGTGGACCTGTGTTCTGTCTCTGCCTCTGCCTCTGGAGGCCAAGCAGAAAGGAAGCTGATTAATGATGGACACAGAAGAGTAGTTTGGAAAAGTCCAGTGTCCATGCCCCACAAGTGCACAGAGCCCACGGGGCAGAGAACCTTTGCTCCAACCCTCTGAATACAGAAAGTAGGGCCCAGAAAGTTTAGGGGACATGCCCAAAGTTCCTGAGTGGCAGAGTGGAGTTCAGAACTTAAAACCTCAGGCTCCTAGCAGGGCTCCTTCCATCACTTCACTGCTCATCTCGCTGAGCAAGCTGATGCTCTGGAGCACATGTGTTTTAGCTGCAGCTTATAATCCAGTGGTCTGATTTAGGTGGGAAATTCAGGTATACACGTAGACTTGTGTATGAATATTCTCCTTGTTTCCTTTATCAAGGCTTCTTTCTTGGAGGGAGGTAGGCAGTGTTACCTGGCATAGAATGAAACACTGAATATCTTAAAAAAAAAAAAAAAATCTTACCACCCTTCTGATCATATTAAGGATAAAGTCTCACTTTAGGGCTAGCCCATCTTTAACACCTTTCAACACTTGCCCTTTTTAAAACAAATCTAGAGCAAGTCTCTGTGCCTTGCAGAAAACAAGATCAAGTTCAAGGTTAATAAGAGTATTTGTTTCATTGTATTTATTTTTTTAGTTTTTAATTAATTTCTATTTCTGGTAATTGATAGTGAATTTCCATTTGTAGTAGTGACTAGAAAGAAAAATACTGGGTAGAAAAGAGCTCAGGTTGTGTGTCACCAGGTGAAGTGACCAAAGCCAGGCCTGCCTCATGCCATGCTGTCGTCTTGTCTTCTTGTATATGGTCCCTTGTATGCCATTTCTAGCAGACTCAGCTTGAATTGCTCCCTGGTTCCCCTTCTCAGACTTCTGTGTCACCAGGAGCTCGACAGGAGGGTTCCTTGTCTCTCTGTCTCTGAGCTGATAGTCATCCCTGAATTCCTCCTTTTATCTTTGAGGATGAAGGTGAAGAGGAAGCAGGAACCTTGATGGTGAAAAACCTTGAATGTCATGCCAATAAAAGAGTTTGTCCTTTGCCTGAAGGCAATGGGGTAGACATGAAATGTTCTTGGAGAAAGATTACCTGTTTGGTGCTGTACATGGGAAATATATGTAACTGGTTGGTTTCTTACCAGGGCTGATTTCTAAGATTGATACGTTAAAATAGATCCCCTAAAGTCTGACTTTGTCACTTCAATTTCCCTAGAACCCAGAGCACCATGGTCCTGTCCTCCCATGCCCTGTGGTACTTCTTGCTCTGAGTTTCTTCATTTGCAGAGTAGAGTGAATCCTGTCTGGTTTATGCAAGGGATGAGAAGACCATGCAGTGTTTCCCAAACATCAGTCATTTGCTAATCACACTTGGGGGCGGTGCCTACTCAAAGCATATTTTTTATTTACTTAGCCTCTTTTTTAAAAACTTGTTTTAAAAGGAAACATTATGTTGTCTAAATGGGAAAATCCCATTTCAGTTGCCATAAAAAGGAGGTCATGGTACAAAATAAATGCCATGAAAGCACAGCAGTGTAATTCCATTCAAGCCAGTTTCCGCTGCCTGAAGACCTGCTGTCATTCAGTTAAAAAGGAGCAAATGTCAGGCAGGTGTTAGCAAGAGGCCAGCACTGCACTGAGACTTTCCAGATGTCATCAGAAAGTGAGAGAAAATCAGTAATAGCTTTACTCACCTTGAGGGTCAATATTCTTGACTCCTGTGCCACCTGGCTTTGAAATTGCTTGGTCACACCTAGACTCACCTTGTGGCTGTTAGTGCCTTGGAAACGTGCACAATGTCCGAGTACAAAGGGCACACTGGCCTGGGAGGTGGCTCTTCTTGGAATGCCCAGGAGCCAGCAGTCCCCTCCTACTCCAGGGAAGGGGCTGATAGTGGCCAAGTCTGCAACCTGGGGGTGGGGTCTGGCCTGGAGGTCAGCAGGCAGCAGGGTACCATTCTGTGGTTTCAGAGGAGAAGCTTCTATCTGACGGCATGCTGGTGGAGGCACGGGAGGCCTCGGAGGAGGACCTGCTGGTGGTGCACACGAGGCGCTATCTCAACGAGCTGAAGGTACAAGGCAGCGGGCCCTGAGGAGCTGCTGACCTGGAGCCTTTCCTAACTTTTAGGATTAGGTGGGGGAAGGGACTGGGGATGCCCAGGCCTAGCCAGAGGAGAGGGAGCAGCAGCTCAGCCTAGAGAAGCACAGCCTCGAGGGCTCCCATTCCTGTCATTGGGGCAAGGGGAGCATGTGGTCTTTGGTCCCCAAGGGAAGGAGGAGAGAGTGGGGTGAGTTAAGCTGCTCCAGGTGGTATGACCTCACCATTGCTGGGGGTATGAAAGCATGGATGTCCACTGGTGGAGACTGAACCTTTATAGGGACTTTGTGCTTCTTCATTAGTGACTTAAAATATCTGTATGCTGTAGACAAGCCTTAAAGACTATTGCTGGGGTGATATATGAGGTGTGTGTGTGTGTGTGTGTGTGTGTGTGTGTGGCTTTATCCTATCTAGCCAGAGCTGTTTCAGTTTGGCCTGTTTTTATAATGGGCTGAAGTTTAAGACTCTGTCCCAAAAATTTCTGTTGATAGCCAAACAAAAGACAGGCATATGAGTGGAACATTTACATTAGGGAGATACATTCCTTGGACAGATCAATCATGGGAGAATAGAAGGGCTGTGTATGCACAAGGAGACAGCTTGGGGGGCAGGAGTGCATGAGAGGGAAGGACACAGGGAAGAGGTAACTATGGGAAGTGGGAAGAGAGCTGTTGCATTGTGGAAGATTGCAGTGAATGTCATGAGACAAACTGTATGTGAACTGCTGTGTGGAAAATGAATTTCCTCTGTAAACTTTCACCCAAATCACAATAAAAATTTTAAAAAATAAAAAGAAATTGAAAAAGATTTCTGTTGATAAAGACTTGTCAAAAACTATTGGACTAAAATCTAGTTTTAGGCATGAGAAAGTGGGCAAGTGGGGAGGAGGGCATGTGGGGTGAACTTGACAATGCCTGTCCCTTCCAAACTAGGCCCAGCATGGCTAGCTCTGGTTTTCAAACAGAAGCCAGAAATCTCAACTACTCAGTGAAATTTCTTCATGTGATAATGCAACTTAAAATTTAAAAATCCTAACTGCACACTGAACTGGGCCCTAGGCTGCCCACTGTGACCTTTTTCTAGAGGAGCCCACAAAGCTCCAGTTACTGGCTGGGGCTCTGAGGGCCTCAAAATTTAGTCAGTCCACTCTGTAGGAGCAGAGGGGAGGTGGCATCAATATGTGAGGCCAGTGTGAGCCCTGGTAGGGGACAGACCAGGGAGGCCACAGGTGCTCTCTCTCCAAGAGTATGGGAGCCCTGACCCTGTAAACCGCCCCCCCCCAAAAAAAAAAAACTCATTGCCTTTGGATGCCAGAGGTCACCAGGCCCTTTTTTTTTTTTTTTTTTTAATTGTGATTTGGGTGAAAGTTTACAGAGCAAATTCACTTTCCATACAGCACTTCACATACACGTTGTCTGACGACATTGACAGTTTACCCCAATGCAACACTTCCCCTCCCACTTCCTCCCAATAGTTACCTCTTCCCTGTGTCCATCCCTCCATGCACTCCTGCCCCCTGAACTGTCCCCCTGTGCATAAATAGCCCTTCTTTCTCCCATGATTGTTCTCTCCAAGGGACGTATCTACCTCAGGTACATGTTCATCTCTTATGCCTGTCTTTTGTTTGGCTGGAAGCCACAGGTGTGGGTTCAATTCTAGACCTGAAGGGCAGCTATGGGCCATAGCCTCAGTGGTTCCACCAGGCTCTATCAGACCAGCAAACCTGGACTGCCCCTTTTTTTATTTTCCCAAGTGATTTTGAGTTTTGTTCCACATTGTTCTCCCTCTCTATCCAGGTTCTCCTACATAGATCCCCCTCTGAGTGGTTGACAGTGGTAGCAGGGCACCAACTAGTTCTTCTGGTCTCATAGTCGTATAGGCTGAGGATCGCATGGTGTCCAGTCACAAGGACTAAATGTTTCCATGAATCTTTGGTTTTCTTCATTCTTCTTTGCTCTGGATGAGGAGAGACCCATCATTGCATCTAGATGGCAGCTTGCAAGCTTTTAAGATCGCAGTCACTACTCACCAAAGTAGGAGGTGGAACAATGTTTTGTGTAGTATGTTATGCCAATTGAGCTTGATGTCCCCTGTGACTATGGTCCCAAGCCCACAGGTTCAACTATTCAGTCCCTTTAGGTAGCTTGCTGTGACCAAGAAGTGACTACAACCTTGTCCCTTGTCAGCTCTACTATACCCCTTGGAGTTCTTACGAACATAAACATACACTTGTAGAACCATTGTCTGCCAACCCTATACATGGTCTTGGGTACACTCCCTGCTGCATAGACATACTTAATAGTTCAGCTTGTCTACCCATCTATCTACCCGTATACTCGTGTTTGCCTTCACTGACAATGCGGTACTGTATGTGCAAAAGGTTCATCTTTGTTGTCTGTACCTCCCATGTACCTCTCTATGTCTTCCTCTTCCTGAATGCCACCACGTTGATCACTCACATTTGTAACATTGCTCTTCTCTTCACCCAAATCAATACTTATGTCTACCTATCTAACAGTGTTCAAGAAGGCTACTCTTATCCAAGAATACTCAGGAAATCAGGGTCAGCTGCTGGAGACCCTATCTTCAATCTGGGCTCCTAGTTCCGGGCCATGGCTGTTACCTCCCTCCCCTGTCATCTGACCTGAGCTGTGAAAGTTCTAGATGGGGCCAGGATAGTGTAAGCTCATGAAAGATTACCAGGAAGAGGCTGATACTTGCCTCCTGGGAGAGAGAGGTGTGTGAGGCCTTGGCAATGAGCCCAGTACTTGGCTGCCCTCATTTCTTGGGGCCTGGGCATGCGTTTTAGATCCACAAACCAGGGGCTGGACCAGGAAGTTAGAATCCAGCGGGTGAGGTGAGAGCAGAGATGAAGCTTTGAATTGGGCAGGGAGATATCAGCTCAGGTGGGGCCAGGGCTGGGGTGAGTAGATTGAGAGAAAGGCTGTGAATGGGGAGATGGCCTTCTGCATGCCTGTTCTTGGGACCACGAAACATTGGAAGAAGCCTACTGTATGATAAATATTAATGAAAAAGTCCCAAATAGAAAACTGAAGTCAAGAGTAGGAGGAGAATTCAGATATGTCAACTGGAAGGGCTAACCAAGATACTGAGATTCAGCTGCATATTTGACTTGAAGCTCCCTGGCAGCCAGAGCAAAAGGAATGTAGTTTCCATAGCACCTACTAAAGTGAAGAAGTATTCATTTATTCATTCAATGTATCTATTAAAAAAAACCAAAAAACAAAAAAACACCGCATTGCCTTTGAGTCGATTGCGACTCATAGTGATCCTTCCTTGGGTTTCTGAGGCGGTATCTCTATGGAAGTAGATAGCCCAGTCTTCCTTCCGAGGAGAGGCTGGTAGGTTTCAACCACCAGCCTTCTGGTTAGCAGTCAAATGCCTTAGGCACTACACCACCAGACTTCCTAATGTATCTATATCGAGTGCTAATTTTGTACTGGGTGCAAAAAAAAAAAAAAAAGATTCCAGGCTCCCTGCTCCTATGAATTTGCATTTTCACTGTGGGAGACTGGAAATAAAGCAGCAAACACACAGGAGCATTTCAGAGAGCTCCAAGGGCTAGAAAGAAAAGTAAAAGTAGAGGGTAACTGAGTAGAGGTGTGCTTATTTAGACTAAGGTCAGGGAAGGCCTCATGGAGAAGGTGGCATTTGAATTAAGACTGAAGAATGAGGAGTAGTTGACAATGATGTGGAGCTTTGAAGGAAGAGCATTCAAGAATCAAAGATCAGCGGGAAAGAACATCCTGGCTTGGTACTGGGACCACACTGAAGGAAGCAAAGGGCTGGGGTGGTGCAAATGAGGTCAGGGAGCAGCAGTGACCAGGTTACACAGTGTCTTGGAGGCTGTGGGGAGGTGTTTGGATTTTGTCCTAGGTACTCTGATGCCCAGCAGAGACCCATGCCCATTTCAGACATTGTCTAGCATCTAGCGGCTGCAGCTCAGGAGGGTTCCTCAGACTTATAGTCAGCCAGATGCTTGGGATGTTTCTTTGCTCTGCTTTGCTAAGAGCACCAGAGCTATATCCCTGGAGAATCCTATAGGTCCTCTCAGGGAGTGTTCCTTGGCTGTTTTGGTTCTATGTGTTTGGGAAGCACTCACCTCTCCCTATCCTACCTCATTCTGCCCCCTCACTCTGATTTTTGGCCTCTGCCAGGTCCTTTGCTGGTATGCCCCTCCGTTGCTTAATAAACAGGACCCTGAAGGAGAAGCAATATCCTGTTTGCAAGATGATGTCAGTTCAGGGAACAAATGTTTATTGAACACCAGTGCCTAAGGCATTTGACTGTTAACCAGAAGACTGGCAGTTCAAACCTACCACCCACTCCTCGGAAGGAATGTTGGACAATTTACTTCCATAGTGATAGCACCTTGGAAACCCAAAGAGGGGTTGCTATGAGTCAGATCCGACTTGAGAACAGTGAGGGAATACTGTGTGCAAGGCCTAGAGTTGGGCCCACAGAGGGTGGTGGTTGGATTGGGCTAGTGCCGAGCTTTTGTCTTCTGCTGACCCAAGTGACCCTTTGCCATGGACTATGGGTTAGTGCACATGGAGTGTACACATCTTGTCCTTGTTCACCCTGTGCTGGTCAGTGCTTAGGTCACACTCATCCTGCTGATATTTAGAGAGCACCAGGCTCTGTTCTAGCAGCAGAGATAGAACAAGAGACACCAACTTCATTTCCTTATTTAGGTGTGTGGGGAGGTGCAGACAATAAACATGAGCATCAAGTAAATTATGTAGAGTGCGAGCAAAGAAATGGAATCTAGGGGCCCCATTACCATATACAGACCAGTTGCTATGGAATCATTTCCAACTCTAGGCGACCTTGTGTGTGTAGAACTGTGCTCCACAGGGTTTTCAGTTGCTGATTTTTCAGAAATACAGTGACAGGACTTTCTTCCAAGGTGCCTTTGGGTAGACTCAAACTGCTGACCTTTCAGCTAACAACTGACTACTTAACTGTTTTACCACCTAGGGACTCTGGAAGGGGTCTCAGCAAAGGCATTTGAAACGAGTTCATGAGGTCAGGCCTCCCTGACTGGTTTCTGTTTTGAGTCCACGTTCGAAACCTTGTGAGGAGAAACCCCTGTTGCCCACATTTGCTGCCAGTGGCCAAGCCAGGAGCTGAGACAGTTTGGCTCTGAGCCTGTCCCCTCCCATACCCACCTAGTCCAGTCCTTTAGTGCCCTGGTCTGGGGTGAGGTGATCAAGGGCCTGACCGCTTGCTGATCTGGGTGACCCACCCTGGCCAGCTGCTGTAGAAGATAAAGTATCTGTCCCTTCCACTGTAACACCCCTGCCCACCCCTCCCTGCCCCTCCCTGCCAGACTACTCTCCAGAGCTTCCACTCCAGCTGCCCTGAGAGCACCTTGGTGGGGGCGTTGCTGGCACTGGAATTCTATTTTTCAGTTCTGCCCCCACCTTTTGTCAGTAAATGAATTTCCTGATGTCACCCTTGTCTTCCCTCCCCTGCACATCTGTCTACTCACTAGGCTTTGCCTTCTCATGCCTGTCACCACCTATTTGCATAGCCCTGCCCTTCCTCTAGTGCCTCAGCTGCCAATCTGTCCACCCCCTCCCACTTACTTTTCACCCTAGCTACCCATGGCCTTTATTAAGGCAGCACTGTCCATAGAACTTTTGCAGTGATGGACATGTTATATTCTATGCCTGCTCTGTCCCATCTGGTAGCCATGAGCCACAGATGGCTGGTTGAAACTTGGAATATGGGTAGTATGACTAAAGAACAAAATTTTAATTTAAAAATATTTTAATTCATTCATAATTACATGTAAGAAGTCACACGTGGCTAGGTTGGACAACCCAGGTCCAGAGCACTGGTAGTCCACATCACTGCCATGCACAAAATGCCATAGGACCAGAGGAGAAGCTGAAGTGCCCAGCCCCCTCTCTTTAGCTTTCCTAAGTCTTCCCACACACACTCCCACCCAGGCTCCCAGCTTTGGCAGACTTATGCCTTCTCCCTTTGGCTGGATTCCGTTCATGCTTTGGGGACTTCATGCCAGGCACCAGACTCTGCAATACAAAATTCACTCTAGCTTAGAGATCCCAAATGTATCCCAGAGGACTCCAGTTTTGCAGAAGGTTATTTGAAAAGTAAAGGGGCAAGCAGGGGCTTGTGGTTGAAAAGTTTGGAAGGTACTAGGTGAACCGAAGAGAGGATTCTTTAGTGTGGAACCTCTCAGAACCTTCAATGTGACGAAATGCTTTGTGAATTTTCAAGAGGTAGACAACATAAGTAGTGTTTCCCAAACTTATTTGACTGTGGAACCCTTTCTTGGTACAGTATTGGGATAGGCCAGTTGCTATGGGCCACAAGTCTCTGCTCACTGGGCCTGCCCTTGAGGGAAGGTGCATGGAGAGCATTATAGCCTTTCCAGCCATCAGCTATCCTCAGCCTTGAGCCTGGCAGGGGTGCCTATCTCTGCTTTGTGTAGGAACCTCCTGGCTGATGCACCTGCTTGACCCTTAGGCATGTCTCCTTTCCTCCACCACACCCATTTTGGTCTCTCTCCTTCCTGCTCTACTGTCTCCTTTAGTAGACATGCTCTGGTCTCACTTACCTTAAAACTCAGCTGGGATAAATAATTCTTGATGGATAAGAGGCCCTGTGGTAAAAGGGAGAAAGGAAGGAGACCTGGGTTTCCAGTCTTGGCTCTGTCTGCAGCACACTACGTGACCTTGGATAGATCCTTCCTGTTCAGGCCTCAGTGTCCCCTTTTGTACAGTTCTGCAGAAGCCATCTTTGGGCTACACAGCTGATCTGGACCCCTGCGGCTCCTGGTATGGCCACAAGAGGGTGGCCAAGGGCTTTGGAACTTTAAGAACGTAGCCCTTAGTGCGAAACTGCCCTGTTGTGGGGCCTGAGGGTAGTGGGGATGGATGCCCTTGTTTCTTTAGCCAGGGCCACTATGAAACTGTTCTCATAGCATTGAATCTGATTGCCCAATGAAGTTCAGGGGCTGTGTCTCTTTCCACAGTGGTCCTTTGCTGTCGCGACCATCACAGAAATTCCCCCTGTCATCTTCCTGCCCAACTTCCTTGTGCAGAGAAAGGTGTTGAGGCCCCTTCGGACCCAGACTGGAGGAACCATCATGGTAGGTTGAGCAGTGAAGAGGAGGGACTTGGCTGGGACCCCTATACCTTGGACTCCTCCCCACTGTTTTGAATGACCTCCTGCCACTTGGTAGTTGAACAAAATCCTAACTATTCCTCAGTGTCCAGCACAATGACTTTTTCTCAAAAAAGCCTTTCTTATCTTGGGCATTAGAATTCATAATTCCTTCCCCAATGGCCTTCTGTTACTGCATTTGTTGGTATATAAAATACAGCTCTATTCCCCAAAGATCATATCCAAAAACTATGGCTCCATTGTACCCAAATTTAGGATGGAAAACTGAACATCATATTTAAATAATGATGTTTCCCCACCTCCATTGTGAGTGTGTCAATAAAGGAAAATTTACCTTATACATCATTTGTGTAGTTTTCTTAAAAATCAGTGCAGGCTACCAAAGTGATTGGAGGTAGAAGAACAATCCAGACTTAAATATATGAGGAGCTAACCCAGGCCTGGATCTTTACTTATTGATCCTTCTAGTTTTTTGTTTTTCTTCCTCAGTTCTTTTAATGTGATAAAATATATATAACATAAAATTTATCATTTTAACCATTTTTGTGGGTATAATTCAGTAGTCTTATGTACGTTCGCAATGTTACATAACCATCACTACTATCAGTTTCTGGATCTTTTTTATTATCCCAAACAGAAACCCTATTCCCATTAAGCATTAGCTTTCTGTTACCCATCCCTAGCTTCTCTCTCTAATGTTCTGTGGAGCTTTGTGAATCCATACTTTATTTGGTTAGGGGAATGTTACTGCTCCCTCAAAAACTATGATCTTTTACAGGATTTAAGTATTCAGTCTACTGAATTTCCATGAGCAAAAAATAGTCTATTTTCTCTTTCAGAGCTGCATTAAAACTGTTGCCAGCTTATGTATGATGATAAGTAGTTAACATACATTTCTTTGAGCTTCCTTCCAAAATTTTGACGGGGCTCCCACACTGCCCCTGTCATATGTCAGTCCCTTTGCTTCTGGGACTGACTCTGGGATTACTGAGGGTTGCCATGCTCCCCAGATCCCTCCTCTGGATGGCTCAGACACACCCAGAACCCATAGAGACAGTTGGGGAAGGGCTAAGTGATGGGTAAATAAGTGGGGGAAGGACCTGGACTTCTGGCATCACCTATCTTGTTTCCAAAGGCAGGGAAGCTGGCTGTGGATCGAGGCTGGGCCATCAATGTAGGTGAGTACTGTAAGTATAGGAATGTCCAGCATAGGGGTCTAGGGGCAGCAAGAGTCCAGAGGAGCTTAGGGGTGGCACTGTGCAAGAAAAGGTTTGCCACTCCTTAAGGGACCTTTTGGAGGTAAGACCTGAGAGGGACACCTAATCCCTCTATTTGATGTGGGACCCTAGTCTCAAGAGAGTTCCCAGGGGCTCTTCAGCCTTACTTTGCCCATTTCTGGGGATTTCCTTCCTGTTAGAAACCCTGTACCATCCTGGGCAGCTCTACATGGGGCTGAGCCTCCCCTGAAAGGCTCTGTGCCACCTCCTGATGCATGCCCCATGGGGAATGGTCATGTTGTGTAGCTGGACAGGCCTCGTGTCAGTGCTACTTCCTTCTCAGGGATCCTGAGGGTCTGTGCTTCCCAGCCCCAGAGCAATGGGATTTGTAAATGCCCTGGACTCTCCCACAAGACTGACTCATGGGAGGGCTGCACATAGCAGTCTTCCTGGTTTCTGCCATTGTCCTCCATGGCAGGACAGCACTTTACAGTTAGAAAAGCCCTTTCCCCTTAGGCCTCTTATGTAAGCCTGGCATAATTGTTATCAGCCCTGTTTCATGGATGAGGAAATGAACATGGAGAGAGGAATAGTGGCTTGCTCAGAGCTCCTTGCAGGGTCCCCTTGGCTGTGAACTCTGCAGGGGCAGGGTCTGGGTCTCACACATGTTGGTGTTGCCAGGACCTGGTGTTAGATCTGGGATAGTGATGGTGTAATGACTTTCTGCTTTGTATTGATGGTGGGGTTCTGGCTCAGTGCCTGAACTGTCCCTTCCATCATTGGAAGGCATTATGGTCTGGCAGAGTGGTTAAGGGCACCAGTCCTGATCCTGCCTGGGTTTGAATCCCTGGGTTCTGCCATTAACTAGCTGTTTTGACTATAGGCAAGTTGCTGAACCTTTCTGTGCCTCAGTTTCCTCACCTGTAAAATGGGGATGATGATTATAGTACCCTCCTTATAATACTTTCCTTATAGGACTACAGGAGCTCTGGTGGCATGGTGCCTAAGGCATTTGACTGCTAACCAGAAGACTGGCAGTTCAATCCCACCAGCCACTCCTTGGAAGGAAGGTTGGGCAATCTACTTCTGTAGTGATACCACCTTGGAAACCCAGGGAAAGGTTGCCATGAATCAGATCTGACTTGATGGCACTGAGTTTGGTTTTGGTTTATAGGACTGCAGGGAGGTTTCAATGAGCTCAGTGCCTGGTGAGGACTTCAATATATGTGAGCTTTTGTCTTATCATCATCATCATCATCATCATCGAACAGTGGCTGTTTGAGTAGTGAGAAAAATAAGACTGTTTGTATCGGTAGGCCCAGCTTCACACTCTGTTCTCTGGGGCAGGTGCTGGCCTAATTTCAGTGGGCCTTGCAGCTCAGGTTCCCCTGGGCTTGCAGGGAAATAGTCTGAGGCTGGGTCCTCAGGGATGAGAACAGACGGGGTGGATGGAGCTGGATCCTGACTTCCAGGGCCCTCCCCATTGCCATGGGCAGCCATGGCCAACAGAGGGTGCCCTTCCTAACCATCTTCTCTAAAACTATTGCTGTGGAGGTGATTCTGACTCATAGTGACCTGCTATTGAACAGAGTAGGAGCTCTGGTGGCATAGTGCCTAAGGCATTTGACTGCTAACCAGAAGGCTCATGGTTCAAACTCACTGGCTAATCCTCGGAAGATAGTGAGCAGTCTACTTCTGTAGTAATACCGCCTCAGAAACCCAAGGAGGGGTCACTATGAGTCGAATCTGACTCTATAGCAGTGAGTATAGAACAGACTAGAACTGCCCCATAGGGTTTTCAAGGCTGAAATCTTAACAGAAGCAGACTGCCTCATCTTTCTATTGTGGAGCACCTGTTGAGTTCTAACTGCCGACTTTGGTTAACAGTCAAGTACTTTAACCACTGCACCCACCAGGGCTCCTTAACTATCTTCTCTGCTACCTGCAAAAAGTCTGCATGTCAAGCCTGGTACACCCCCCTCCCACACACGCCCCAGGATGAGAGAGTCACATGGAGGCAGGCCCTAGCTCTGGGAGCAAGGAGCAGTTTTCTGCCATGAGAAGGAGCATGCTCCCGTCAGCTAGGATGCGAGTGGACACTTGGGACCGACTTGTTTAGAGACCCTGAGAGGGTTCTTCTTGCTCTGGGCAGAGGTAGGCCACGATGGCACGGCCACCTTCTCTCCCAGGGCTAGAGACATGCCAGCTGCTCAGTTTCCTGGAATCTGAGAAGTGGATCCTGGGTGCTGAACCAGGAAGGGACTTTGGGAGGATGGAGGCATGAGGGTCTGGCCCTGATCAGCACCTCTGTCTGCCCTTCTGCAGGGGGCGGCTTCCACCACTGCTCCAGTGACCGGGGTGGGGGCTTCTGTGCCTATGCGGACATCACGCTTGCCATCAAGGTGAGTTGTGAACATGGGTGGGGGAGGGAGGAACTTCCTCTAAGAGCCCTCTCTAGCCAGGCTCTGGGCTGGGCCAAGATTCCTTCCTGCAGTGCCAAGTTTGGTGTTCTCATTTCAATGTTATAGAGAAGGAGCCCAAAACTCACAGAGGGGTGGGCTGGGCTGGGTGGCTTGGGTCAGGCTTAGACTCACACCCAGCTCTGACACTCTTATATGTCACTTAAAGAGGTTGCCTGTAATGGAAGGTAGATATTATAGTTCTCAAGGGTAGAAGGGGCCTGGGGCAGAGAGGGATGTATAGCAAAAAGTTTTGTGGAAGAAAAAGGAGGAAGAAGAGGAGGGGGAGAAATGGTAATGATGATGATGGTGGAGGTTGTGGTAGTGGCTGGCATTTACAGCATGCTCACCCCTGTGCCAGCCTCCATTCTTTATAAAATAGAGTCTCTGCTTACCCTTATTTTGTGGATGAGGACACCGAGGCCCAGAAAGGTAAGGCACAGCTGAGGGGCAGACGGTCTCCATGTCTGTTGGGCCTCCAATCCCCACCTACTCTGCACCCAGTTTCCTTTTGGGCATCAGGACTTTGCTGAGGTGCCCCCTACTCCCATGGAACAGACTAATAGGCAGGCAGGTCAGGAGATGGGAATCACAGGAGACCTTCCTGGAGGGCAGGGAGGGGAAGGAAGGCTTCCTGGAGGAGAGGCACAAGAGTTGGCCTTGCAGGATGAGGCAGAGATTGAGGATGAAGTTCTAGGCAAAACTTTGGGCTATGAGGTCCCTGGGGAACCCTGGGCTGTCACTGAGGGCCAAGTCTGATCTCCTGCCCTTCAGTAACACATGCCCCCCTCCTCCAGGGAACCTTCCCTGATTGCCTCCTGCAGCTCTGCCTACTGGTCTATCTGTTTGCTGATAGCATGTGTGCCCTCATGAGCTCCTCTGTCTCATCTAGGCAGTGCTGTGAATCCTCTGTCCCATCCAGGTTCTCATGTCTGTCTTCTCCTCCCTGCATAGTTTCTGTTTGAGCGTGTGGAGGGCATCTCCAGAGTCACCATCATCGATCTTGATGCCCATCAGGTGAGTGCTGGAGCAGGCTGGGCTCCCACAGGACCTCCCAGGCCCCAGAACCTCCCCATTTTCCCCAACAGCCTCTGTCTGTTATACAAACCCCTCACTAGGGGGCTCCCCTCCTCTGGGAACATCTGGAGCCCCAAGCTGGCTTCTGCCAGCCTCCCACATTCCCACACTGCTTTCCTGTCTCTCAAGCTATAAGTAGAAGGGTGTCTTTGACCCTCTGCCCCATTCGTCGCAGCCAGGTGGGCCAGGTCCTGCTCAATGTCCTGCTTTTAGTCCTGGGCCTTTTTCTCCCTCATCCCTCCCCTCACTTTCCTCCCTGCTTCCCCTGGCCCATCATATACCAGACTGATTGCTTTTCTCTCATGCACTAAACTCTGCCATTGCTTCCCATTGCTTCCTAGTCCATTTGGGGTGCCCACCTCCTGTCCAAAGCTGGTGAAGTCTGTGGACCCATACCTCAAGTGTTTGTTCACACACAGGTCATACATACAACTTCAGGACTGTGCAGGCTCCTAAAGCCACTGTGTAAGAGCTCATTGCCTAGAGGGTATAATACCAAAATGTGGAGACACCTTCTCAGGACTCTGGGCTGGTTCTTCTAGTCAGGGACAGGGGAGTGGATTCTATGGGTTCTGGAAGGCCCCACTGCACCACTGCCATTGCAACTTTGTGCTGGTTGCAGCCCTGCTCAGAGCTCTTAGCACACTGAGCTCCTGGACCAAGTCAGGGGCTCCTGACCTGTCAAATGTGCACAGTCGTTCACAGTTTAATATTTCACATCCATGGGCCCAACTGATTCTACCACAGACTTGGTGGTGGCCATGACTCAGAAAAAGGAAACAAGGTCTGAGACTTGCTTAAGGTCACGTGAAGGTCACAGGCCATGTTTGAGATTGAGTCCCAGCTCTGTCACTTGACAGCTGTGAGACTGCTGACCCCAGGGGCAGCAGTGTTGCCCAGGCCCGTGTGGAGTTTCCTGGAGAGCAGAGGTGGGAAGAACACCTTCCTTCAAGTGGCTCTGTGTTCTTTCGCAGGGCAATGGACATGAGCGGGACTTCATGGGGGATAAGCGTGTGTACATCATGGATGTCTATAACCGCCACATCTATCCTGGGGACCGCTTTGCCAAGCGTGAGTTGCTGCTCTGCCTCTCACTCTGACATGCATTCTTGCTCAGACAGGGGTCTCTCTCCTGAATATTTCCTGTGCTGGGCCCTGCAGAAGTCATTAGCATCCCTGCGAGGTAGGGATTGTTTACATTTTATAGATGAGGAAACTGAGACCTAAGGAAGTTACTTGACCCATTTAAGATCACACAAACCTATCTTAAACACACATATGGGTTCTTAAATCACCTCTAATTTAGTAGCGTTTCCTTCTCCTAATGTGCATCTGTCTAGGAGCTCTGGTAGCATAGTGGCTAAAACACTTGACTGCTAACCAGAAGGCTGGCAGTTCAAACCCACCAGCCACTCCTCGGAAGGAAGGTTGGGCAATCCTACTTCCATAGTGATACTGCCTTGGAAACCCAAGGAGGGGTCGCTATGAGTCGGGGCCGACTCGACGGCACATAACAACAACAACAACAACAATGTGCATCTGTCTAGTAGAAGGTAGGAAAGGACAAAAAAGAAGTAAGGAGAAAAATATGAATAGAAAATACAAAATAAGATGGCAGGGTTAAGTTCAAATATGTTGTTGTTAGGTGCCATCGAGTCAGCTCCAACTCATAGCAACTCTGTGTACAACAGAAAGAAGCATTGCCCGTTCGTGTACCATCCTCACAATCCTTGCTATACCTGAACCCATCCTTGCAGCCACTGTGTCAATCCATCTCATTGAGAGTCTTCCCCTTTTTTGCTGTCTCTCCACTTTATCAAGCATGATACCCAGTTCCAGGGAATTGTCCCTTCTGACATGACCAAAGTAGGTGAAACAAATAAGTAGTTACTAATGAAAGTGAGTTAAACTCATTAATCAAATGACAGACTCTGAGAAGAGATTTGGAAGCATAGGCACCTGCCTAGTTTGTACACTGGGGACACATACACATGAGGTGGTAGCAAGTCTGGGAGGGTATGGCCAAAGGACCAATTTCTGAACTGAATCTTGAATGTGTTGACTTTAGGCTTGAGGGCAAAGCAGGGTATGCACATGTTTGGGCAACAAAATCAGACATTGCTGACATAGGTCCCTGAATCCCCAGGGCAAAAATGTTGCTGATTTAATCCTCCACCTTTTTGTGTGTGTCTGTGTTTTCAGCTCTCATTAATCATTTTAGGTGAGGTAAGAAGCAGAGCAGTGTTTTTGCCTCTGAAGTCAGGCTGACTAGCTTCCAGTCCTGGCTAGGGCACTAACAGGTTCTGGGACTCTGGGCAGTCTTCCCCCTCCTGAGCCTCAGTTTTCCTTCTTTGAAAATTGGGGCTATTCCTGTGTCTGTCTCAGAGGCCATCAGGCGGAAGGTGGAGCTGGAGTGGGGCACAGAGGATGATGAGTACCTGGATAAGGTGGAGAGAAACATCAAGAAAGCCCTCCAGGAGCATCCACCCGATGTGGTCGTGTACAATGCAGGCACTGATATCCTTGAGGGGGACCGCCTTGGGGGACTGTCAATCAGCCCACAGGTAGGTCCTGATCCTGAGGTGGGAGGCGGGTCTGCTCTGGGGACTCAGCCATAACAAGAAAAGTGGGCAGCATTAGTGCTTCTACTAATGTCAGAGAAGAGCTAGGGAAAAGCAGTGGCTGTCAGTCTGGTCCAGGGTTAGACTTGTAACAGGACTTCTTGATACTCGCCTTTACCCCACACCCCCAGGGCATTGTGAAGCGGGACGAGCTGGTGTTCCAAATGATCCGTGGCCAACAGGTGCCCATCCTCATGGTGACATCTGGTGGGTACCAGAAGCGCACAGCCCGCATCATAGCTGACTCCATCCTCAATCTGCATAGCCTGGGGCTCATTGGGCCTGAGGCCCCCAGTGTCTCGGCCCAGAGCACAGACATGCCTCTGCTGCCTCCAGCAGTGCCCTGACCCAAGTTGCCCTGCTGGTCATCTCCCTGCCTGCCTTGAGCCCAGCCCATCTCCTCTCCTACCTGTCCGCCTAGTGCTTTTTGTTTTCTAGCCTGAGGGGTGGGAGGTGCAGGGCAGCCATTGCCAGGAGGCCTGGGCTGCGGGGTGGGGAGAGTGACCTGTGTGGCTTCTTGAGAGCATGGAGGCGCAAGGGCCTGTCCTGACTAGGCCAAGAAGCTCCTCCCCTCTCACCATGACAGCTGGGAGGGTCTCCACTTTATGGGCTGGGGACAGAAGGCAGAGTCTGAGTACCAGGGAAGACCCCCACATGGGCCCTGGTGAAGAGAGCTCATAGCTGTCTGAGAGAGGAGAAAGCAGATGGACAGTTCACAGAGGAGGGGAGAGGATAGATCAGGCCCTGGGAAGCCACAAGGAGGCTCTGGAGGTAGGGTGCTCTGGTTTCCAGAAAGTCAGACTCAGATTGAAATGCAGAAGCTTCCATCACTACTATTTTTGGCTTCGTCCCCTGCTCTTTAGTCTATGATATTTGCTTCTCCCCTCCCTGCTTCAGCCAGGGTGTGAGGAGCAGGGGCACCTGGAGACAGGGCCTGGGAGCAGGATGTTGAGCCAGGCTCCAGGGTACGGGGATGGGATTCTCAAATTGCCTGGCCTTGAATTTGATAGCAATAGGGAAGGGGGTGCAGGTGGCTTCTCCCATCTGGGACTTCTCTCAATAAACCAAGGGCTAGACCTGCTCTCTGAGAGGTCCTCCGTGTGACTCCCCTGGGGTGAGGAGGCCTGTGAACACCTAACCCCCTGCCTCAGCAGTGGTCTCCTATGTTCAGGGCAAGTAGCAAGTGTAGGGGGAGGATTCTTAGCTCAGGGAGGGGCCTGAGCACAGGAGCCTTGAATGGGCTGCTGACGCACGTGGGCAGGGGGCAGAGGAGGGTAGGGATGGGAAGACAGAGCCTGGCAGGTGAGGATCAGGGATAAGGGCAGGGGGGCAAACTAGATCCTCCAGGAACTGCAGCCCTGAGGTACTGGTGAGGCTAAGATAGGGGGCTTGGAGGGACACCAGAGAGTCTCCATCATGGCCACGCCCCAGGAGACAATGAGGGCAGGTGACTTAGGGAGGCCCCAGGTGGGACTGCTGCCTCCCAGGCTCTGACCCAGGTGGGTCCTGACTTCCAGCCCTGGCAAAGCCCAGACCTTGGCCTTGTCTTCAGCTCTAATCTGAAGGGGACATTTAGGCACCCCCCAGGAAGCCAGGCAGTGGGAAAGTCTACTCCCTTCATTTTCTGGGCTTGTTCTTAGCCAATGACTATGGCCTTGACCACAGTCAAGAGAGGAAAAGTATCTTCAGTAACCCCCCTGATGGGACTTGTGCCCATGGTCATCTGGGGGTGCTTCTGCATTCTCCCTCACTCTCCACTCCCTCTGGTAGGGCAAGGGTTTCCAGGACCACAAATTGGCTCAAATGTGCTGACCTACTGACTAGGCTCCAAGGCGCTAACAATGTACTTGGACCCACTGCCCTGGCCAGTAGTCCCTCTGGACCTGACTCTTGGTACCTGACATCCATGCATTGCCACTGCAGGCCGATGGCATTGGGGCAGGCAGTGTACGTGATTTGGCATTGTTGAGTTTCAGTTCTGTTCATGGAGAGCCATAAAGGCTCTTGAGTGAACCCAGCTGCTGTGTATTCTTGAGATGAACAACCCCTCCCTCTTGAGGGTGACATGAAATAAAGATTAGAATTCATACAACACGTGACCAGTACATTCTAGGCTTTTATTTCGTCCTCACAGTCCTATGAAGTAGGGAAGTGTTCCTGTTTTATAGATGAGGAAACCAGGGCTTGCAGAGGAGAGGGAGTTGCTTTACATTGCACATCTAGTGAGTAATGGAGCCAGGTTTGGACCCAGCTATCTCACTCTGTGTGTGTGTGTGTGTGTGTGTGTGTGTATTCTCTGCACAGCTGCCTCAAATTTGGTGGGGGAGAGAGGCAGGGTAGGGGTTAGGGTAATGGTGTTGCTCTTTAGACAAGAGGGTGTAGGACCTCTGGGGGATAAAATATCTAGGAATGGGGTCTGGAAAAGCATGGGAGTGGGCAGGCTGGCAGCTTTGAGCTGGGTGGTTGTGTGTGGTACAGTGGGGACAAGGGGTGGCAACCAGCCTTGAGTTGCAGTTGGAATATGCTTAGGGGTCCTTTGCCCTGAGATGGGGTAGGCCTGGGGCTGGTGATTCTGTGCTGGGAGGGGTTTAGGCAGATGGTGAATGCAGAACCTTGTCCTTGTCCTGGCAGAATGATGAAGGATCCCCAATGTCAGCAGCACAGCTTGTATGGGGAGCAGGGTGACCCCTCAAGGGTTAGATACCATGCCAGGCAGGGAACTAGGTCAGCCCCACAGTAAGTGTGGGGAAAAGGAGAAAGTTGACATTGAATGAGCATGTACGACATGCTGGGTATAGTTCTAAACTCTTGATGGGAATTATCTGCTGAACATCACAACAGCATTCTGAAGTAAGAACTGTTTTTATTCCTAATTTACAAATGTAGAAACTGAGGCATGAAGGGGTTTAGTTCAAAGCCACAGAATCTTCAGTCTGTAAAATGGTGATGTTTGGAGCCTTACCTCATGAGGTGGTTCCAGGAATACATGCTTCAATCCATGGACAGCATGCTGGGTGGTACTTGGTTAGCAGTCAGTAAAGATTAGCGATGATGGTGATAATTTTTCCAGAGGTCAGGACTTGAGGCCAGTTGAGATGACATGTTCAGGAGTTCTTCAGATCCTATGCGTTTTACTGTATACATATAATATCCCATTTTTTAAAAAAGTTCAAGGGACACACACAAGCTCAAGGAAGTGGCTGTGGGGCCACCCAGCAGCCTTAGCAGGCCCAGTGTGCACTCACAGTGTGGGTACCACATACATGGGTTGCCAGGCCAAATGCAGTCCACCTGGGTGTCCTCTGCTGGCTTAGGCTAGCCACTAATGCCTGGTAGAAGGGTTTCTATGCAAAAGGAGCTGGTTAGCACCTCCTGAGCACTGGAGGAGACATCTGGCTAAGGAGGCGGAGCCTTGTGTTGGGGTGGGCAGGCTGGACTACAGGGGGGTCTCGGGTAGGTGGCTTAGCCTCTCTGAACCCAATTTCCTCAGCTATCATGCCAGGTCAATTCTTGAGCTTGCAGGGCTGGATTGGGTGGCAGGGGTGATGAGTCCAGAGCCTGACACCAAGAAGGAGCTGCATTCATGCAGCACCCTGACCTCTTCCCCCTAGTGGTTGACTGTGCCTGGCTAGGGGCTGGCTGATGCTGGGAAGACCTACAACTCCCAAGTTGAGTTACAACTCCTTTCTCCTCAGGGGTCCAGTGAAGGGCCCTCCAGCAGGAAACCTACCCTATCACCTGGCTTCCCACAGGGATCACACTTGAGTATGGAACAGCAGGACCTCAAGCAGGAATGAATACACCCCCTGCTGCTTTAGGCATAAATAGAGATACAAGCTGGTATGACCTCCCCCAATTTGAGGGGGGGGTCTAGGGCAGATCAGAAGGAAGACATTTATGATGCTTCTCTGGCTCTTCAGCCAAATTTTGGGGTTTCAAGCCTGCCCTGGAGTTGGTTTAATTCAGTTCATACAACACTGGCTGGGACACCCTGTTCCTGGCCCAGGACCAACACCCTCATCCCCGGGGAGTCTCAGCCCTGGAATGCACAGTTACCATGATTGTCAGGGATGTGGGATACAGTGGTAAACACATGGGCTCCAGTCCCTCACCGGCCTGCTAGCTGGGTGATTTTGCTTCTCTGTACCTTAGTTTACTTACCTGTAAATGGGGCTAATCACACCAAACTCAGGGTTGTTATGAGAATTAAATGAGTATATGTATATGTGTGTGTGTGTGTGTGTGTATAGGAGCTCTGATGGTGTACTGCCTAAGGCATTTGACTGCTAACCAGAAGGCTGGTGGTTCAAACCCACCAGCCACTCCTTGGAAGGAAGACTGGGCAATCTACTTCCATAGAAATACTGCCTCGGAAACCCAAGGAGGGCCGCTATTAGTTGGGACTGACTCAAAGGCAGCGAGTTTGGTTTGTTTTGGTTTTATATATGTATATATATATAAAAAAAAAAAAACCTACCCACATTATTTCATTATTTGTCACTCAGAAGTTTGGGAACATCAATGGCTTAGTTGGATCTCTTACTAGAGGCTGTTGTTGTTGTGTGCTGTCGAGTCGGACCCGACTCATAGCAACCCCTCCTTGGGTTTCTGAGGCAGTATCACTATGGAAGTAGATTGCCCCATCTTCCTTCCGAGGCTATGAGAGTAATTTCACTTCCAAGACCATTCAAGTTATTAGAAGAATTCAGTTTCATGGTGTTGTAGAACAGAAGTCTGGTTTCCTTATAGGCTTTTGCCATTGTTTGTTTTCAACTTGTTCTGATCACCTGCATGCCTTGGTTTGTGGACCAAATCCTCCATCTTTAAGCCAGAAATGGCTGGTCAAGGCTTTCATATGCTTAACATCTTTCTGACTTCCCCTTCTACCTCATTTCTTTTATTCCTCCCTCTTTATCACATCTTTCTGACTGACTTTTCTGACTTCCCCTTCTATTTTTAAGGGCTCATATGATTATATTAGACCCACCTAGATAATCCAGGATAATGCTATCTAAAAATTCCCTTCATAGTAGTACCTATACTAGTATTTGTTTGACTAACCATGAGACAAGAATCTTGGGAGCACATCTTTAAAATTGCACCTCCCACACCTTGTATCTGTTAATTCTAATAATTTATCTGTAGATACTTTAGATTTGCACAATTATAGAATCTAAAAAATCTGAAAGTGTTATTTATTCCTTTCTAGTTATTATTTTTTAAAATAGCATTTTTAAACTGTGCTTTTGGTAAAAGTTTACACAGCAAATTAGATTCCCATTTAACAATTTCTATACATATTGTTCAGTGACATTGGTTACATTTTTCACAATGTATCAACATTCCC